ATAAAAATAAAAAGGAGGGGATTTTGCTTTTGGCTTTTTTGATGCTATAACAAAACTTCTCAAGATTTTCCATAACACAATCAATATTGCTCTAAGCCCCCACCAACTCTAGTTGCAAACACAACAGTCCACGCCCTCAGTCAAACTACGCCAGCCTATTACCTCCCCCCTTTCTCGGGGGTGGGCAACATATCAAACATAGCCTACCCCATGCCAACCCATTAACCTTAAATTCATCCTGTTTGTAACGTATCGGACCTTACCCTCAACGAATAGTTGGGAGCAACATTGCTATAAACGTCGACCAACACACGTCACCACACAATTGTGTCCATTCTGGTTTGGTCTCTCTTCCCTGCTATATAATATACCAAGCATGAATAGTCAGAAAGGTTGGAGATATGCGAATATGGGGAGAGAGGCATGAATGAGTGAAAAGTTGAACAGTCGGAAACCTAGAGGTTACATGGAATGAGAAGTGGGGAAGTTTATCATTTAGTTTAAATATAGACTTGTCCTTATCTTGAGAAAAAAGATTAAATGAAGTAAGATTGGAGACCTGTCACAACACTACTACATTTAAATAGAATATGGAGATTCATTAATAGAAATCATGTTAATTACCAGAAAAAAAACATTGAATATTTAATTTTACTTGCCAAAAGTTTACTTGCTATGTTTTGAAGTTAAATGTATTGTTTTCTTTTGCAGAAACATGTTGGGTATGTGGGCAAAATATAGTTGGTAAAATGGCTGCTGCTCTTACTCCAAGCCAAACCAAGGACTGATATTTGGTGGTGAAAGAGCATGGTGGGGAAATCCCAGTGAGGAGAAAATGTTATGTTGTGCGAGCAAATTGTTGTCACCCTTGCACTTCTAAGGAGAGAATTTTTTTGAAGGGACTCGACTGACTCGAAATGTGGGAACAAGGATTCTATGGAGCTTGTGTTACCTAAGGAAGCTGAAAAGCAAGTCGATGCTTGCACATAACAGCTTTAATCTTTAGTGAATCTCAAAACTGAGATAAACACACTAAGAAGTGTGCTGATGGACAAGTCAACAGATCTGTTAGACGTGTACGAAGGGATGACGAAAGTTAGGAAGCAAATTCTGGATATGGAAGCTGAGGAGGATAAAAGCTGAAAAAATCTTTGTAGTTTTCTTTTTGAACTACTATAATTTCAGTATAATGCAAAACATGCTTAGGAAAATTCTCTCCTTTTGATATTTACTCTTACTTAATTTGACTGCTTTGGAAATTCTCTCTTTTTAATATTCTTTTTAATATGTACCTACTTATGACTGCTTAGGAAAATTCTCTCCCTTTGATTTGTATGTACCACTTTTGACTGCATAGGAAAATTCGCTCCTTTCGATATATGTACAGACTTATGACTGCTTATGTAATCTCTCCCCCCCCCCCCTTTTTTTGTGCTAAATTCTGTGTATTCATGAATATCGGGTACATAACGTTATAATTTGGGGTGACATTTTTGGATGATTTGTTGTGAATATGCCCAATTTGGGGTTGTAAGAGATAGGATCATGGAATGCATAGGACAACTTTGATCTTGGTAATTGTGTTCTATAAAAGAACTACATTATTTATTACAATCCTACTGTAGAGGCGAGTCAGGTGACAAACAAAACCACTTCGACATAGCGACATCGGAGTGAGACATCTGTTTGTCTCTAGCCATTCTCTAACACTGTCAATGTAACGAAAAGTTCAAGGGGGATAAATCAGAAAATAATGCTGGAATTAATCAAAAGCATAACCCCACTCCCCCTCCAAAAAAAAAAAAAGAACTCACCGAACATGTTTTACATATGCCAATTCACTTCAGTGCACACAACTTGCTACAATCCTGACTTGCGTTTAAATTGACTTACACAATTTGGTAATAGTCATGCTCCTCGTTGGAGGTACTTTGATCCGTTATTAATTGTCGAACCACCTGTCTGAGTGGAGTTCTCATGTTGATAATACCTGGATCTTAATTTTTTTGGGTAGGTAGTACATAAACAGTTTAGGAAATTGGATCCAGTTTGTCAATATTTATTGGACACCGTAGGATGAGATAGAAAATATGTTTATGGTATGTCATATTCTTGGTCTTTTAACCAACTACTCTAATGCAATTTACTCTAGTCACTGCATCAGGCTTGTGGTGCTTTTAGATTGGAGAATTTCTAGACATTTCATCACTTCTTGTACGTTTAGATTTGGTCTAGTTTAGAACTTTAAGTGGTTGTATGTGGTTTTGAAATTATTTGTAAAAAGCAAGGAATTTTCCACTTGGAATTCTTCTGGTATATTCTTTTTCCTCTTTTCTTTCTTACAAGTACTCTTGTGGGTTTAAAAACTTTCAGGGCTTGGTATGCTAAGAAGCAGGGCATTGTTAATGTAGATGCTGAAAGAATGAGAGGCAAGAAGATGTAGAAGTTATATATTATCAATAGTCCTTACATTGGCAAGGATAATTGCCTACAACTGAACACAACTAGTTCTTCCAGCTTTCGTAACTACTGTGAATGTGTTTAATGGTTATGGATGATGATATCTTAAACCAAACACAAGTTTGTGAACTTTTTTTTTTATTGGGGTTTAGAAAATATTGTGCAGTTATTTATACCTTCGCACATTGTAATGCTTATGCACACTAGGGTTGCACACACTCGTACCCTCTGAAGCCAATGGGATTCTGACCCTTTCCATGCATTCAAATCCATGTCAGATGAAAACTACCAACTCTCCCTACACATTACTATTTTGAATTATCAGACTCGGGGTGGCATGAGACCACAAATTTTGTGGACCATGCAATTTTTTTCATTTTTTTGTGTTGTGGGTTGGGGTTGCTATTTAAGTTTGTTGTTTGGATGGTGTGCTCGATAATAGGGGCGGTGATGGTTAGTAGGGGCGAACGAGGGAGGGGAAATATTGTCGAAGGGCGACTGTAGGGAGGTGAAGAGAACTGAGAGAGAAAAAATGTGAATACTCATGTACCTAGTCAATATATTATAAAACCTATAGATATTAAGGAAATCATCAAAATTCATGGACCAAATGAGTAAATTACAAAACCTAATTTGAGCGAAAAAGTAAACGTAGCTATGACATTCTTATCCTTCAAAATCAATTACATATTAAACTCAAATTATCACCTTTATGCCAAACCTGCTGGTTCGCAATCTTATTGCCGTTGCAACAATCTCTCTCTCTCTCCTCCCCTTTTCATTAGAAAACAATTAGAAACTCCCCTTTTTTCACCTTCTCCACTCCCATACTCTTTAATGCTCTCTTAGAGGCTCTAAAAATTTCCAATTTTCTATGTACAGTGTAAGACAACCCAATGGACAACTCACTTTCAATACAAGCTTCAGACTCTGTACCTCTCCTGCTACCATTTACGGTTTGACAGACTGTTTTTTTCAGGTACTCTTGATTTCTATGAAAATAGTTATTTGTGTTTGTTTATCATTTTTTGGTTGTACAATACATTCCCACGGTTTATTATACCTTCTTAACTAACAAAATTTGAATTTTGAGTATTAAAGTACAATTAATGATAAATCTTAGGAACTGTTAGCATGATTTATCATAAAACTTTAAGAGCTCTCAATTTCACCCTTAAGGTTTTTTATTTTTGATTTTATTTCAGTAAATGACATAATAAAATAAGAATTTTAGTTGTAAATTCATGTTCTACTATGAATGACTTAGACCCACCCTTGTTTGGTTTTTTAATTTTATTCTAATAGATAGTATAATTGTATACTAATTACGATTTTTAAGAAAAAATAGTTTTTTATTTTTGATTATTATTTTAATAAATAATACAATAAAATATGAAATTTTTGTTATAAAATTTAATATATTTTATATTCTATTTTTGATTGAAATATTTTTGATATAAACTTTAGAGGTCCGAGTATACTTTGCTAACGAATATAATACCAATCGGAGGCGTACAAACCTCCAAAGGTAAGTGATTAAGTGTAACGAACTTCAAAAGGTTCAGATGTAATTTTATGAAAATTGAATCAAACGGTTAATTGGGAAAACTTGAACGTAAAGTATCAAATTGGTTTCTAAATCTCATAAAGGCGGATAATTAAAACACTAACCAAAAAGGGAACAAAATCAAAACCAAAGATCTCACCAGAGAGACGTTAGAACCAAAGATCTCACCAGAGAGACACAACCAACTTCATGTACATAAAGTACGAATCTCCCGCCTACGATCGTCTCTCTGTAAACCCTAAATTCCACCACCACATGAATTCTTCACCTCCGTTTGTTTGATTTCTCCATCCTCTCTCCGAAAAGATTCAGCATTGTAAAGCAATGGAGTCGATGATCGACCTCTGCGATCTGATCGCACAAAATCCTTCGCAATTTGCTGATAAATTGGCTTGGATTTGTGGCCGATGTCCACCAATTGACTCTCTACTGCCACCGCTAGATTTCTTTCTCAATGCCCCAATTTCGACGACATGAGGCCCTAACCGGCAGTCCTAGGTTTTTTTTTATGTCGATTCCGTATTCTTTTGCCCAAACTTTTTGGCCACAGTCGTTTGGGAGCGATTCAATCGCTTCGTACGATTTCTTGAGTTATGTGAATAAAGCCAGTGAGTTGTCCTCGGATTTTGCCAATGTCAGTGGAGATTTGGGGGAGAATTGTGATGTCGGCGATTAACAATGTCAGTGGAGATTTGGGGGTTTCAAGGGTTTCCTTGAATGTTCTGCTCTGTCTTAGTATTTTCCTCCAATTCTTCCTTCCGGTGCAAACAAATTAGTGTCCACTCTTCTAGATCGATTTGAAATTTCGGTTTCTGGTTCACCGAGGAGCTAGTTTTGATAACACTTGAAGCGTCATCGTCTCAGAGTTCGACACTCAGTGCAAACCATTATCAATCAAATGAGAGAAACAGTCCAGGAAACGAGGTCAGCAATGCCTCTGGTTCTTCCAGCGGTGAGGCTTCAAGGGTTACAGATGAGGGGACCAGTGCATTGTCGTCCAAAGGATATATTTGGTGCTGAATGGGGACAGCCTTGCGTGGAAGAGCAATGTGGATATATTTGGTGCTGGTGTTGGCTTCAATGATGAAGGAGGAGGCGGTTTCGCAACTTACAAGCGAGTGGTGGCCTCTGTTGAGGAAGTGCCTGTGGAGAGTCTTCAACAACAGGAGATTGCTTTCATGCTGATTGGGCACATATTGGATAAAGTCCAGATTGATCTTAAGCTTTTGTAACAAGTGAGGGCCATCGCAAAGGTGCAACTCCAATCAATGTTGGCTTTCCTAAAGGTAAAATTCATGGGTATCCACCCTTTTGGTTTCAAATTTTATTGATGTCTTGATGAAAAAACTATATAGATGAATGAAAAAGCTGGTTAAAATGTTTGGTTTTGTTGGCAAATAAGGAATCGTGACTGGACGGAACAGGGGGGATTCATAAAAATAGGGTTTGGTCTTTCATAACCAATTGATCGTCATTTAAGGTATATGACTTCTCTGTAGCAAATTACTTCCTTACAATTTTTTGTTCCTTAAAATTTTCATACCATTTAACCATTCTGTCACAAGGTTATATATTTTCTATTGATTGTAGTACATTAAGACAGTGGAGGAGGGACTAACATTAAGACATTAGCCAACTGGTTCAGTTCCTGGGTGATTATGATGACTGCACCCTTGCTCTTGTCTTGGAGCAGTGGAGGTTTGCCCCTCTCTCTCTCTATCGGCTATTGTATACATGGTTTAACATTGACTTATTGCTAGTGTTCTTGTAAACATAGTCTCCCCCCTCCCTTCTCCTCTTTTTTCTTTGCATAAGAATTAAAAATTCCAGTTCATCTTGGAGGACAACAATTTTCCATTATGTTTTTTGTTGTGAAACATATTGTTTCTAAGTTTATGGCTACCATTATGTTGACTTCTGAAGCCTTCCAACTTTACTTTTATATTGTTCTTGATTTCTGTAACTCAGTTTGGGAGTGTTACTAGAAAGTAGAAATTTTAATGCTTAAGAGTTATAAAACCTTAAGTGTTTGAGGTTTTGGGTTAAGGTTTATGGTTACGGGGTTAGGGGGTTAAGGGTTATGGGTTTAGGGGTTAGGGATTTATTTTTCTTTTGCTTCTTTTGTTCCACCCCCTCATCATTCTTCTTCTATTTTTTCCTTTATTTTGTTATGTTTTGGATTTTCATTTTCATGTGCGTAACGAATCTAATATGTGCTTTGATTTCAGTTGTTAGTGTAATAGACGAGATAAGTTTGAAAGCGGAATTTAGGAAGAAAAATATAAGTATATCTATTTGTCCAAATTCGATTAGCTTTTTTTTACATGTAAATTGTGTTTTACACATGACTATTTCTACTTCTTTTTGTGTTTCTTGCTTGTTATAATCATTGTTTCTATTGTTTTCAATCCTAAACACTCTCATTATCCCATTGTTTCTATTGTTTTCAATCCTAAACACTCTCATTATCCCATTGTTTCCTTTTCATTTTTTGTTGTTGTTTTCGTGTTTTACACAACCTATAATTGCATAGCATTTCTTTGATTATATGTGTTTTATTTGCTTTTCTATTAGATTTATGTTTTATTTCATTTTTTATTATCTTTCTATTGAAATTGTTAAATGTAGGAAACAAAATGTAACTACTTGGAGGGGGAGCAAATGGTTAAATCATGGAGGAAAATTAGGAGTTTGTAGCATGTAAAAGATAACAATAAAATATAGAATTCAAATAGGGTGTAGGGCTTTGGAGGCTTGGGGCTTACGGGCTATCAGACTTATGGTTGTTTGGGGTCTTGGGTTAATAATTAGGGGTTAGGGATTAGGACTTAGGGAGTAAATATCAGGTATTAAGAATTAGGGATTAGGGCTTACGGATTAGGAATTTGGGATTAATGCTTATGGCTTAGGGAGTAGGGAGTAGGGATTAGAAATTAGGGATTAGGGATAACGGATTAGGGGTTAGGGATTTGAGTTTATTGTCTTTTGCTTCTTTTGCTCCATCTCTTCATCATTCTTATCCTATTTTTTACTTTTATTGTCTTTGTTATGTTTTGAATTTTTATTTTTATGTGCGTAACTAATCTAATGTGTACTTTGATTTCAGTTGTTAGCGAAATGGACGACATAAGCTTGAAAGTGGAGTTTAGGAGCAAAAAGATAAGTATATATATTTGTGCAAATTTGATTGACTTTCTTTTACATGTGAAATGTATTTTACACATAACTATTTCTGCATCCTCTTGTGTTTCTTGTTATGATCATTGTTTCTATTATTTTCAATTCTGGACACACTCATTAACCCACTATTTGCTTTTCATTTTACGTTATTATTTTCATGTTTTGCACAACCTATAATTGCATAACATTTCTTTGATTAATTGTGTTTTGTTTGCTTTTCTATTAAATAAATTATGTTTTATTTCTATTTTTTGGGTTGTTGGTTTGTAGTTAGGGGTTAAAGATTAGGGCTAAGGGAGTAGGATTTGGGATTAGGAATTCGGGATTAGAGATTAGGAATTAAGAATTAGGACTTTAGAGATTAGGGATTAGGGATTAGGGATTAGGGGTTAGGGATTTGAATTTATTGTTCTTTTGCTCCATCTCCTAACCATTCTTATCCTATTTTTTTATTTTATTGTTTTTGTTATGTTTTGGATTTTCATTTTATGTGCATAATTAATCTAATTTGGATTTTTTATTTCAGTTGTCAGTGGAATGGACAAGATAAGCTTGAAAACGGAGTTTAAGAGCGAAAAGATAAGTATATCTATTTGTACAAATTTGATTGACTTTCTTTTATATGTGAAATGTGTCTTACAAATGATTATTTCTACATCTTCTTGTATTTATTACTTGTTATGATCATTGTTTCTATTATTTTCAATTCTCAACACTCTCATTATTTCACTATAATTGCATATCATTTCTCTGATTATATGTGGTTTGTTTGTTTTTCTATTAGATTAATTAAGTTTTATTTCGATTTTTTGGCTTGTCGGTTTATAGTTAGGGGTTGAAAATTTGGGCTTTGGGAGTAGGGATTTGAGATTAGAGATTAAGGATTAGGGCTTTAGAAATTAGAGATTAGAGATTAGGGATTTGGGGTTAAGGATTAGGGATTTTGGTTTATTGTTCTTTTGCTTCTTTTGCTCCACCTCCTCATCATTCTTATCCTATTTTTTACTTTTATTGTCTTTGCTATGTTTTGGATTTTTATTTTTATGTGCGCAACTAATCTAATGTGTACTTTGATTTCAGTTGTTAGCGAAATGGACGAGATAAGTTTGAAAGCGGAGTTTAGGAGCGAAAAGATAAGTATATATATTTGTGCAAATTTGATTGGCTTTCTTTTACATGTGAAATGTATTTTATACATAACTATTTTTACATCCTCTTGTGTTTCTTGTTATGATCATTGTTTTTATTATTTTCAATTTCGAACACTCTCATTAACCCACTATTTGCTTTTCATTTTTTGTTATTGTTTTCATATTTTGAACAACCTATAATTGCATGACATTTCTTTGATTATTTGTGCTTTGTTTGCTTTTCTATTAGATAAATTGTGTTTTATTTACGTTTTTTTTTGTGGTTGGTTTATAGTTAGGGGTTGAGGATTAGGGCTTAGGGAGTAGGATTTGGGATTAGGGATTCGAGATTAGGCATTAGGGATTAGGAATTAGGACTTTAGAGATTAGGGATTAGGGATTACAGATTAGGGGTTAGGGATTTGAATTTATTGTTCTTTTACTTCTTTTGCTCCACCCCTTCATCATTCTTATTCTTTTTATTTTATTTTATTGTTTTTGTTATGTTTTGGATTTTCATTTTTATGTGTGTAACTAATCTAATTTGGATTTTTTATTTCAGTTGTTAATGGAATGTACGAGATAAGCTTGAAAAGGGAGTTTAGGAGCAACAAGATAAGTATATCTATTTATGCAAATTTGATTGACTTTCTTTTACATGTGAAATGTGTTTTACAAATGACTATTTCTACATCTTCTTGTGTTTCTTACTTGTTATGATCATTGTTTCTATTATTTTCAATTCACATCACTCTCATTATCTCACTATAATTGGATAGCATTTCTTTGATTATATGTGGTTTGTTTGCTTTTCTATTTGATTAATTATGTTTTATTTCAATTTTTTGGCTTGTCGGTTTGTAGTTAGGGGTTGGAATTTGGGTTTAGGGAGTTGGGACTTGAGATTAGGAATTAAGGATTAGAGATTTAGAAATTAGGGATTAGGGATTTGGGTTTATTGTTCTTTAGCTTCTTTTGCTCCACCTTCTCATCATTCTTATCCTATTTTTTACTTTTATTGTCTTTGTTATGTTTTGAATTTTTATTTTTATGTGCGTAACTAATCTAATGTGTACTTTGATTTCAGTTGTTAGCGAAATGGACGACATAAGCTTGAAAGTGGAGTTTAGGAGCGAAAAGATAAGTATATATATTTGTGCAAATTTGATTGACTTTCTTTTACATGTGAAATGTATTTTACACATAACTATTTCTGCATCCTCTTGTGTTTCTTGTTATGATCATTGTTTCTATTATTTTCAATTCTGGACACACTCATTAACCCACTATTTTGCTTTTCATTTTACGTTATTATTTTCATGTTTTGCACAACCTATAATTGCATAACATTTTTTTGATTAATTGTGTTTTGTTTGCTTTTCTATTAAATAAATTATGTTTTATTTCTATTTTTGGGTTGTTGGTTTGTAGTTAGGGGTTAAAGATTAGAGCTAAGGGAGTAGGATTTGGGATTAGGAATTCGGGATTAGAGATTACGAATTAAGAATTAGGACTTTAGAGATTAGGGATTAGGGATTAGAGATTAGGGATTTGGGTTTATTGTTCTTTAGCTTCTTTTGATCTACCTCCTCATAATTTTTATCCTATTTTTTACTTTTATTGTCTTTGTTATGTTTTGAATTTTTATTTTTATGTGCGTAACTAATCTAATATGTACTTTGATTTTAGTTGTTAGCGAAATGGACGACATAAGCTTGAAAGTGGAGTTTAGGAGCGAAAAGATAAGTATATATATTTGTGCAAATTTGATTGACTTTCTTTTACATGTGAAATGTATTTTACACATAACTATTTCTGAATCCTCTTGTGTTTCTTGTTATGATCATTGTTTCTATTATTTTCAATTCTGGACACACTCATTAACCCACTATTTGCTTTTCATTTTACGTTATTATTTTCAT